CCCGCGGTGGCGCGGAGCGGCGGCCGATCCGCGAAGCCTCCGGGGAGCGAGGCCCACGGACCTCGTGGCCGCGGACCGAGGTGCCTCCCGGTGCCCCCCCGGGCGCCTCCGGAGGCCTCCCGCACGTCGACGAAGGCCCACGACGCCGGCGGCGCCGACGACGCCGTCCACGGCGGCGCCAATCTTCCCCGGGGCGGGCGCCTGGTCGACGACGGCGTCGACGGCGGCGGCGACGACGACCCAGAGATCCAACGTATTGAAAACATCAAGACGGAGGTTTTCCACAATTTTCGGCCTCAAGGGGCCCTCGCCGGGCCCCGGGACCGTCAAAAAACGACTCAGGATGAAAAACCGGTCCTGGAGGATGGGTCGAGACCTCCGGGGACCCCGTATCGAAAAAATCACGTCGTCGGATCTCTGGGGACGTCGCCGACGCCGGCGCCGAGGCCGAGGGGCCGAGGGGGGCGGGCCGCCGGGTGGCGGCGGGCAATCGCCCCGCGCCGCAGGCCGCCAGGGCCGCGGGGGCCGAGAAGGCCGCCGCTGGGCGGGAGATCCTGGCCGCGCTGCAGCGCGGGCCCCAGCGTCGCCGCCGCTGCTCCAGCCACGCGGCCGCAGGCATGGATTCCAGGGGGGCGTGGATTCGCGGCGGGCCCCTCTGCCACTGGGGGCGAACGGGGCGGCACGGGCCGCATTCTGGGGAGGGCACCTCCCCCGATCCATGGACTAGCCGACCGCGCGCCAGATCCATGGATCGCTGATCCACGTTTGCGCGCCCCCGATCAAGGAGCAACGTCGCATGGTGAGGACGCGCGCCTTGGTCTAGGGTCTGGGGTTTCCTTGTTGAGGTGCTCGTTTTTGGAGGCCTTCCTGGGGCCCACCTAACGGATCTGTACGACTCCACTTCCACCCCGCTTCGACTCAAGTTCGACTTCGACCCCACTTCGACCCCACTTCGAGCCCACTTCGACCCCAGCGTCGCCGCCGCTGCTCAAGGAGCAACGTTGCAGTTCAGAAGTCGGGCACGTCCCTCTACAGGAGGAGTATTCCAAAAGTAGTCAGAAACAGTCAGGGGACAATGTTTTGACTACTTTTGAGCTTTGTTTCGCATTTTTTGGGTAGCTTTCATTTTTCATTCAAAATCCGCCTGTCGGGGGACACGTCCGACCTAACCTTAAAGTCAACGCGCCCAGTGAGGACGCGCGGCTTCATCTAGGGTCTGGGGTACCATTGCGTCCTTGCCTCTGCGGCCCGTCCTTAGGCCTCTTCACTAGTCGCCCGTCGCCCAACAAATCCCAAATTTAGACGTAGGAGTGACCTTTCGCCGGGGTGACCTTTGGTGCGGGGCCACTGGGGCCCCCCGATCGCCGAACGCGAGGCGGCAGTGGCGTCGTGCGCGGCTGGGTCCCCCCGAGGCCCCAAAAAGCTGCGCACCAAAGGTCGCTCTTACCCGACGGGAGGTTTCTCACCATCTTCGGCCTTCGGGGGCCCTCGCAGGGCCTCGGGACCCGTCAGCAGACGACCACACTCGGGTGCGAACGCTTCCGCCGCCGAGTGGCCTTTTCTGCTCTTCCCCCCCCCCCCGCTCCGCCTGCTCTGCCCTCTTCCCACTCCTTGCCCCCCCGCGCGTGTATCAGGAGGGAAAAAAACACACAGACACAATAGATCGTCGATTCCCCAGAAGATATGGGAAAATATGGGAAGTGGGGGGGAATACAAAAAACCAGAAAATATGGGAAAATATAGGGAATCTTTTTATGTGTGTGTATTTATTTGTGTGTCCTGGGGCCCCTTCAGTGTAGCCGATCAAGGGGCACCGTTCGTCAGAGGAGCAGAATCTGCCGAAATCGCTGCCCTATTCCCTTGCTCTCCTCGTCCGGGCCGCCCTGGGAGGCCCTCGTCGCCACCGCCGGATTCGCCTCTCGATTCTGGTCTGAAGTCGGGCCTGTCCCTCTACAGGGGGAACACTCAAAAATTAGTCGAAAAATAGTCTGGGGACGATTTTTTTAGTATGTCTTGGCCAGTTTGGGGCATTTTTTGAATGCTTTTTATTTTTCGTCGAGAATCCCCCTGTGGGGGGACACGCCCGACTTACAATTCTGGTCACAACGCACCCCGGGAGAGTTTTTGAGGAGCAGCGGTGCTGGTACTTGGGCACTCCTGTGGCAAGCCCTAGAAGCATGTCAAGTACATCCGGCCTGCGCCCCCACTGGGCCTTCCTGACCGCCCTCTTGACCTTCCCAAGCGGCCTGGGAGCGCCGAGGTGGGCTCCAAAAGTGCCCCAAGACGCATGTGCTTGGGTACCTGTTGGTGCCCTCGTCGCCCACCAGGGCGTCTCGAGCGGGTATCCCCAGCTCCACGTGGCGGGGGAATTGTGGTGAGCCGTGGTGCGTCGGCTGCGCGGCAGCCAACATTCAGCAGGGGAAAAACACAGACACAATTAATCGTCGATCCCCCAGGAAAATATGGGAAAATATGGGAAGTGGGGGCGAAGACAAAAACCCAGAACATATGGGAAAATATTGAGAATCCTTTTATTTGTATGTATTTATTTGTGTGTCCCAGGGCCCCTTCAAACATGTCTCAGGGCCAGAACGCCCATCCCCGGGACGAGAGTTTTTTGTCCTCTTGGGCCCCGAACGACGGTTCAAAGTCTTGAGCAGACGCATGTGAGATTACCGCCGTCGGATCCGATGAAAGTCGTGCGGATCCAATTTCGATTTCGATTTCTGTTCCGGTGGATCCGACTTCCGTTCGCGCGGATCCGATTTTGAATTTCATGGATCCGCCCCAGGTCTTTTTTAACGGCGGATCCGATGTCTACCCCGTTTTTAAATCTATATGATTAGAGGAAAACGGGGAGCCGGGAGAAATCGGATCCGCGGAGCCCCGATCTCGCCCGTGTTAAGATTCTACGGGGGAGGGGGGTTGAGGCATCAACTTCCCAGGATGGGTCCTGCGCTGTCTTGCGCTCTCCCATACACTTTCTGCGCGCGCGGGCCTTACTCAGCATACATGCGTCTCTCTCTTCCTGGTTGCTGCGCGCGGCTCGTCCAGACACCGTCCGTCCGGGGGCGCCGATTTTATTTTGTGAAATCCTCATCGCCGTTTTCACCTCGAGAGGAACATTTAGCGTCCTGGGTAAGTATAGGAACGAGGGACGGCCGGTGCCTGCTCCGTTGTGGTCGTGATTTTTCATCTTCCGCACTGTCGGATATCAGAGTCGGTCTATTGTAGTGGCCTCCGGCCAGTGCCGCCGATCCGGGGCGTTCCAGAAGATGATGATAATGATGATGATGATGATGATGATGATGATGATGATGATGATGATGATGATGATGATGATGATGATGATGATGATGATGATGATGATGATGAGGATGATGATGAGGATGATGAGGATGATGAGGATGCTGATGCTGATGCTGATGCTGATGCTGATGCTCATGCTCATGCTCATGCTCATGCTTATGCTTATGCTTATGCTGATGCTGCTGTTGTTGTTGATGATGATGATGATGATGATGATGATGCTGATGCTGATACTGCTGCTGCTGCTGCTGATGATGATGATGATGATGATGATGATGATGATGATGATGATGATGATGATGGTGATGATGGTAATGTGACGATGGTGATGGTGATGGTGATGGACATGGTGATGATCCCGGCCTCCCCCACCCCCCCTCCTCTCTCCTGTCCCCCCCCTTCTCTCCTGTTCCCCCCCTCCCCATCTCTCCTGTCCCCCCTCTCTCCCCCCCCCCCCTCTCTCCTGTCCCCCCCCCCTTCACCCCCACCCTCTCTCCTGTCCTCCCCCCCCTCTCCTGTCCCCCCCCCCTTCTCTCCTGTCCCCCCCTCTCTCTCCTCCCCCCCCCCTCTCCTGTCCCCCCCCCTCTCTCCTCCCCCCCCCTCCCTCTTCCCCCCCCTTCTCTCCCCCCTCTTCCCCCCCCTCTCTCTCCCCCCCCCCTCTCTCCTGTCCCCTCCCCCGTCCCCCCCCCCCTCTCTCTGTCCCCCCCCCCTCTCTCCTGGGGGCTGGCAGGGGGGGGGCGGTCCTGGCATTGGGCAGGCCTTGCGCGTCAATTCTTTCGTCGTTGGCGTCCCCCCCCTTTGCAGAGCGAAGCTTGAGCGAGCTCAAGCCCACGTTCTCAGAAACTCACACGCCGGATCGGCGGATTTCTGGACGTTTCACGGCTTGGCACGATCGAAAGGGGTACTGGAAGAGTTCAGACGAAGACCGACGGCACCCTCTGTCCGTGTTGAGCAGGATTCATCGTTGGTGTCGCCGCGGACGTTGTTCATTCGAGGCAGAACGTCGCCTGCGCGGCAACGGCCGCTGCTGGTTTGAGACAATTTTTCGTTGCTCCCGCCCACCATCACTCTGCTTCCCGGGCCCGTCCCGGGAGTCCTTCCTGGCCCGCTCTCCGAGCCGCGTCCAGCTTTTGCGACAGGAGTGCGCCCCGCAGGCCTTTCAAGAGTGGAAACCGAGCGGCTTCCGCCGTCGGCGTGGTTTTCGCCGTCGCCGCCGCCGCCGCCGCCGCTGCCGCTGCAGCCGTAGTCGCCGCCGCCGCCGCCACCGTCGCCGTCGCCGTGGTCGCCGTCGTCGCCGTCGCCGTGGTCGTCGTCGTCGCCGCCGTCGCCGCCTGTCATTCTCCTCCATCCCCCCTCACCCTCCTCGTCTCTTCCCTCCTGTTCCCCCCTTCCGCCTCTCATCCTCCTGTTCCCCCCTCCTTCCCCTCCTTCCTCTCTCCTCATCCCCCTCCCCCTCCCCCCCACCATCCTGCTCTCTTCCCCGTCTCCTACTTCCTCCACTTCACCCCCTTCCCCCCTTCCCATCCTCATGATCCCCCTCCTGTCACCCCTCCTCTCCGTTACAGCACTGGCGGCAGAGTCGTCTAGCTGGCCCAGCGTTGCCCCGAGCAGGACGAGTCAGAAGCTGGGCGGACTGCCTGCCCTTGCACCCTTGGCAAGGGCAGGCATCCCCCGCCGGACAAGGAGGGAGGAGGGAGGCCGTGCTCCTGCCCTCGCCCCGGTCCTCCTCCTTGGGGGCATGCAGCCGTTCAGGTCCAGGGCTGGACCTGAACGCTGTTTTGCTGGACGTCGGCTGTGTTTTGTTTTCCGTCTTGGCAGGCAGCCACAGGAAAAGAGGTCGAGCAACACGAAACACAAAACGAAGACACGATTACCCCAGTGCGACCCTACCTAGAAGTTGGAGCCCCTAGGAAAGCAGCATTAGTTGCCATGCTGTGCTATGCTATGCTATGCCATGCTATGCTGCGCTATGCTATGCTATGCTATGTCATGCTGCGCTATGCTATGCTATGCTATGCTATACTGCGCTATGCTATGCTATGTTCTGCTATGCTATGCTATGCTGCGCTGTGCTATGCTGTGCTGTGCTGCGCTACGCTATGCTATGCTGTGCTATGTTGCGCTATGCTGTGCTATGCTGGGATATGCTATGATATGCTGTGCTGCGCTATGCTATGCTACGCTATGCTATGCTATGCTGTGCTCTGCTATGTCAAAGCTCAGCGAAACTAAGCTGAAGGTAAGCTAAGTTAAGATAAACCTGAGTTAGGATGAAGCTAAGCTAAGCTAAGAGGACATAAGCTAAGCTAAGATGATATAAGCAACGCTAAGCTAAGGGGACGTAACTGGGGGAACCGCCCGGGGCGGAGCCCATTCCCAGCCCCTTTAAGCTCAGAGAGTAAGAACCCTTCTAGGCAGAGCCTAGGTAGGGAACAAACAACAACGTTTAGGTCCAGCCCTGTTCAGGTCAAACAGATCCTGCCCTCCGTTGTCCTCTCTAAACGCCGCTACGCACACCTGGATTCGTCGTCGTCGTCGTCGTCGTCGTCGTCGGCGGCGGCGGCGGCGGCGGCGTCGGCGGCGGCGGCGGCGGCGGCGGGCGCGCCCGCCAGGTGCAACAGGCAGGCGCCGGAGGCGGGGCCCGCGGAGCAGCTGCTGGCGGCGCTGAAGGGCGGTGGCGCCGGCGGGCCGGGGCGGGGCGTTCTCTCCCGGCCTGCGGTCGGCGGCGAGCCCAGGGGGAAGTGAGGTTTGGAGGTTCGAGGAGGGGGAGGAGGAGGAGGGGGAGGAGGAGGAGGAGGAGGAGGAGGAGGAGGAGGAGGAGGAGGAGGTTCGAAGTTCTCGGGCGGTTTCGGCGCTTCTGGGCGATTTTCCTCGGGATGCGCTCCAGCGGCTGCGCCACTCCTGGGGGCGCCAGGATCGTCCCGAACGGCCGCCGGAGAGCCGAGTTATGACTGGAAAGCCACCCAGCTTCCGAGAGGAGGCGGGCCTTCTCAGAAGGCTCGGAAGTCCCCTGGCCCCCGGCCTTCTGAGAAGTTCTCCAAGCCTTCCCCAGAGGCGCAGGAGCCATCTCAGAGGGCGCGAGGGCTTCCGAGAATTTCCGCCGCCCCCTGCGAAGGCTTCTACGTGGGGAGCTTCAGGCGAAGCGCCCGGACCCAGCCTCATGACCCTGGTGGTGCAATAGGGAGGAAGGACACCATGAAACATTTACGCGCCGCGTATCCCCACCAGCCCATTCAGACACGGTCGGATGCTTTCTTGAGGTCTCTTGGAGGCTATTTTGAGCCATGCTCTTAGAGGCTGTCGGAGGCTATCTTGAGCCATGCTCAGCTATCTCGGGCCATCTTCTGTTTTGAGGCCTCTTGGAGATCTGTCGGAGGCTATCTTGAGCCATTCTAGACCTCCTGAGACAAACTTGGGGTTAGGAGGAGCAAGAGCAGGAGGAGGAGGAGGAGGAGGAGGAGGAGGAGGAGGAGCAGGAGGAGGAGGAGGAGGAGGAGCAGGAGGAGCAGGAGGAGCAGGAGGAGCAGGAGGAGGAGGAGGAGGAGGAGGAGGAGGAGGAGAAGGAAACAGAGAGAAGGAGGATGAGGGGGAAGACGAGTAGGAGAAGGAATGCGGGACGACGACGAGCACGACAACGAGGACGAGGAGGAGGAGGCGGAGGAGGAGGAGGAGGAGGAGCAGGAAGAGCAGGAGGAGCAGGAGGAGGAGGAAGAGGAGGAGGAGGAGGAGGAGGAGGAGGAGGAGGAGGAGGATGATGATGATGATGTTGAGGAGGAGGCAGACGAGGAGGATGATGATGATGAGGAGGAGGAGGAGGAGGAGGGAGGAAGCAGGAAAGGAGAATGGACAGAACGGACGATGACAAGGGCGTCCTTGAAGATTGTGAGGTATGTTGTTGTCAGAGGTTTTTTGACGGATCACCAAGAGCACTTTATGGGCTCTCTTGGGGTCACCGTGGGGCATCTTGGGGCTTTTCTGGGGTCCTCTTGGGGCTCGTTGGAGGGGTCTGGGAGGCCTCTCGGGCCCCATGGCTCAAAACGAGGGGGGGTTCTGAATTCGCCCCCTCCCCCTCTGAGGCTCAGCATTGGCGTCTTGGGGCCCTCTTGGGCCGCTCTGGGAGCGCTCTTGGGTACTCATGGGGCCCTCTTGGGACCCTCTTGGGTCCCTCTTGGGGCTCTCTTGGGCTGTCTTGGGGCCGTCTTGAGGCCTCAGCAGCCCATCGGAAGTGAGAATAGGAGAAGGCAACACACACATTGATTTCCCCAGGTTTCGGAGCCATTTGGATCTTTCGAAGGATCCTCGGAGGTCTCGGCGGGCACTTTGAGTTGTCTTGGGGCCATCTTGAGGCCTCTTAGATGTGCGTCGGTGGCTATCTTGAGCCATCTTGAGGTATCTTGATCCATCTTGGAGACCATCTTGGACTCGCGGAGTCCCTCTTGGAGCCATCTTGGATCAACAAGCACCCTCTGACACATCGCGCCCCCCTCCCCCCCTCTTAGGCCCCGGGGGGGGTAGGCTTAAGTCGGGCCTGTCCCTCCACAGGAGGAAATATTCAAACATAGTCCTAACACTAGTCTGGGGACTATGTCTTGAGCATTTTTTGACCATCTGGGAGTATGTTTGAGCATTTTCTATTTCTCGTCGAAGATCCCCCCGATAGGGGGACACGCCCGACTTAATCTTGGGCCCAGGGAGGGGGGGGGGGTAGGGGGGAGGAGTGGCCCCCCTCCCCCGAGCAGGTGGTGCTCCTCGCTGCGACCGGCAGTCTCGCCAGCCGGGCTCGCCTGCGCTGCAGCAGGGACGCGCGGTTCGCCTGCAGCGTCCTCGTGGCTGAGAGCGGTGGTACGTAGGCAAGCCCTCGAGGGCCCCGCGTCCATGCGCACGCTCCTCCACTTCTCAAGAGGGGACAAAATCACACTAGAAGAGTTGTCTTCGGTGGTTCGTACCTATTCTGAGGCCACTCTCATTCTTCTTGGGGACTTCAATTCGGTTGCATGCGAGTCCGACCGGTTTGATGCCACCACTGGTACCTTCACTGGCACCGTCGTACGGGACACCTTTGACACGCTGCCATGTCTTGAACTGCTCACCGAGCTGATGCAGGACGATTTCACGAGGAAAGGGGTTGATGCTGCAGGACATCTTCAGTACAGCCGGATCGACCGCATATTTACATCGCTACCGAGCTCTCTCCTAAGCAATCTTGACGTTCGCGTTGCCTCTCCTGGACTTGCCGCGCTCCCCCGCTTCGACTTGAGCGACCACACTCCCGTCTTCTTCACTTGGCGGCAGCGTAGCAGCTCAACTCGATCCCCAATTATTCCAAGTTGGGTACCTCGGCACCCACTGTGGGGCATCGTGCTTGATGAGCTCCGCTTTGCACAGACTGCCGACAAATGGGGCGATGAGGTCGAGATGAAGCGCCTCTTCCACAAGGCCAGCTCCGAGGTCAAACGTAGGGCTCAACACCATGGTGCCCGCACCTCCGAGGAGAAGCTTTGGTGGTGTCTGAAATTTCTTCGCTCTGTGCACAACGGTTGTATTCAGCAGGCCCTCTCTGCAGCCGGCGTCTGCTCCGACCTCCAGGACATTCTTGGCAACTGCTGCCCCTCGAGCTGGACTCATTCAGTGCTCTCTCAAGTGGAGTCCTTCATTCAGCGCCTCAGCCAGGCGACGGCCGAGGAGCGACTGCAGGAGCTGGAGGATGCTGCCGACCTCCCGGAGTTCTACAAGAGCCGGAAGCGGTCTGGACTCATAGCGTGGGCTGCTCAGTTTTCACCGAAGCGCCGGCGTGCAGGCCTCCGAGGTCTCATCGACAACCAAGGTCTCCCAATTACCGATAATACGGTCGCTCATGCTGCCGTTGCTGACTACTGGGGTCCAGTTTTCACCGCGCAGCCTGTCGATGAGCAGGCAGGCAAAATCTTTCTGGACAAGTACGCTGTGCAGCTGCCGCGCCTTCAATGGGATATTTCGTTCGACGACTTCTCCAAGCTTCTCTCTGGCTTCACCGACTCAGCCCCTGGGCCCGATGGCGTGCCCTACGGCGCTTGGCGGCATGCGCCCGAATGGTGCCAACGTGTACTGTATTCTGCCTTGCTTTCATGGCTAGCCGGCGCGCCGCTACCTCGCGATGCCAACTATGCGTGGCTTGCCCTGCTTGCTAAAGGTCACGATCTAGCCTCGGGCCCCGCAGGCTTCCGATCCGTGCCCGACACGCGCCCGCTGTCACTGGGCAACTCTGATGTCAAGATACTTGCTGCTTCAATCAACCGGATTCTGGAGCCCGCGGTAGGCAAATGGGCCTCTGACCCACAGCGCGGATTTATCAAAGGCCGGCAAATGCTCGACAACGTCATCGAGGTGGAGACCCATATGGCCACCGCAGCTTTAGCTAGAGATTCGCAGGAACCCGGTCAGCCGGCAGCATGGCCTAGCAGTCCGTGCCCAGCTTGTGTGCTGAACGACTTCGGCGCCGCATTTCCGAGCTTGTCTTTAGCATTTCTGTGGATGACGTTGGAAGCGATCGGAATTCCAGTGTCCATCATCACGGCCGTGCAGCAGCTATATCGTGGGAGCGCACATTTTTGGCGATTTGGCGGGATAATAACTGAAGTTTTCACCATTACTTCTGGGGTGAAGCAAGGTTGCCCCCTCAGCCCTACGCTGTTCGTTATAGCAATTGACGCATTTCTTCGAGCACTGGTTCATAACTTGGGCGACCGCTGCCTAGTGCGGGCTTTTGCCGACGACATCGCCATCATACTGGGGAGGTTATGGATTGACGGGCCTGTCGCAGCATTCCTTTTCAACGAGTTCGCACGCATTTCGAATCTCAAGAGCAAGTCTCGGAAATGTGTGATCATTCCCTTGTGGCCGATTTCTTTGGAACGCTTCGCACGGCTTCTCAAAGAAGAGATTCCTCTCTGGGGCGAGTTCTTGTGTGACTCTTCTGGCAAATACCTCGGTTTCTTCCTCGGTCCGGGAGCGGGCTCGTTATCTCTCTTGGCACCTATGCGCAAGTATGTGGGCAGAGTCCAGTACATCAAAGATCTTTCACTCGGCTTGCCTGCCACTGCATTGCTGTACAACTCCATCGCCGTCAGCGTGCTGGGGTTCGTCTTGCAGCTGATCGAGCCGACCGCTGACCTCCTGAAGACCGAGCGTGCGATGCTTCGCAAACTGGTCGCTGGACCAGGGAACTGGCTGCCCCCGAAATACGAATTCAATCTCGACCGGCTTGGGTTACCAGTGCCGTTTCGGTCTATGACGGCCTTGCATCTGGCTTCTGCGGGTAGGACCTTGTCTACTACATGCCCTGATTGGCGCACCAGCTTCAGCTTATTGCAGCGCGTTGCTTTGAGTGACCATGCTACGCTGCTGTGGAGGTGGCAATCGTGGCTTGATCGTTTGGCCGTCCGTGTTTTGGATCGCGCACAAACCCGGCTCAACACAATGGGAGTTTCATTGATTACGGTTCGCGGTGAGGCTAGGGCCGACCAAGCTGCGATTTACAAGCAATTGCATGGCCGCTTGTTTCCGGCGTGCCCTGTGCAGGCCATCCAAAGACGTCTGAAAAGGTGGAGCCACATTTTAGGACCGTCGAAACTGCGCGTCTGCGCGGAGTGTTCTGCAAGCAACATGTCCACGTTGCGACGACAGGTTCCTCCGTGTGTCCTCTCTGCCTGTATTCATACTCTTTTCAATGGCTGGACAACCGCACGGCGTTTTCAAAAGGAAGCCCCGTGCGTCTGCTGCAAGACCTCAGGGTCCGATTCGATCGAACATTATTGGTGTTGTCCGGTCTTCGTGGAGGCAGGCCGTCGCTATTTGCAGCTTGATTTGTCAAATTGGTCGCTCCGCCAGTTCTTACTTTGTTCCCCGTCTCACCCCTCTCACAAGGCCGTTTCACTCCATGTGTATAGCTGTTACACAACTCATGCTTACCTTCGGCATCAGAGCGCTGGGGACAATGCGCTTTGGGTGTACCGGTCTCAGTTGCGTGGCGTGCAGGAGCGAATGTGATTTCTGACGCCCGGGAGGGCGCGGGGGAAATTCCGTACAAAACGACCGTTTTGTACAGAATTTTCCCCCTGGCGTTTTCAACGGGTCTGTTGGATACGTCTTAAAGAGAATTCGTATCATTGGCTATCTGGGTTTTCCTCTGTCTCCTCCTCCTCCTTCCCCCTTGTCTGCACGAGTTTGCGGTCAGAATTTCGGCCACGTTCGCAGGACAACCCTGCTGCTTGTGCAGGTTCTTCGCGAGTGTTACGTTCTACCCGAGTCCGGGGCCATTGCTGCTTTTTTCTGCCTCTAGTGCTCCTGGTCGTGTTCGTTCGGGTTCGCGGTATGGAAAGTCCCCTTGAGGGGCAGCGGATTCCTCCTTCTCCCCTGCTTGTTTGCCTTGAAAAAAAAAAGAGGGGACAAAAACACACACAGACACAGTGAACTGTCGATTTCCCAGAAGACATGGGAAAAGATGGGAAGTGGGGGGGAAGACAACAACCCAGAACATACAGGAAAATATGGCGAATCCTGTTATTTGTGTGTGTATTTATTTATGTGTCCCAGGGCCCCTTCACACTTCCCCGAGCGCGTCATCCACCGCTGGAGCGCATTCCGCAAGACGTGGACGGCCACGTCGCAGCGAGGTCGTTTTCTCATTTTTTGTTGTTGTGTCGCCCCTCCCGCCCGCGCCCCCGATTCCAGGAGTCCTGCTTCTGCTTCCCCGCCTCCCCACCTCTTCCTTCCCTCTTCCCCGTGTGGCTCCCCGCCCTCCCCGCCCTTCGTCGCAGCCCTGGGGGGAGGAGGTGGGGGAGGGAAGGGGGGGAAACAGGGGGGCCCGAGCTGCAGGCAAGAGCGGCCGGCTGGCGGCCTCACCTTTTGTTTCTTCGTCGCAGTCGTCCAAAAAGGACACTCAGTACCGGTCTGTCCTTCTGCTCTCCTTGTCCTCGTCGTTGTCTCCGTCGTCGTCGTTTGCGCCGCCGCCGTCGTCGTCGTCGTCGTCGCCGTCGCCGTCGTCGCTGTCGTCGCCGTCGTCGCCGTCGTCGCCGTCGTCATCGTCGTCGTCGTCGTCGTCGTCGTCGTCGGTGCGTCCCAGGGAGCGACCCCGCCGCGCCAGCCCCCCGTGCGGCGGGCGAGGCGGCGGCGACGCCCCCACGCCCGCGCGGGCGGGCGCCCGCGGGCCGCAGCGCCGCGCGGCGGCGCCGCGCGGCCCACCCCCCGCCCGTCCGCCTTCGCGGCCCTGTGCGGCGGTCGCACGGGGGTAGTGGTGGTGACGATGATGATGATGATGATGATGATCATGAAGATGGTGATGAAGATGATGATGGTGGTGGTGATGATGATGCTGATGATGAGGCTGGTGGTGGTGGTGAGGATGATGAGGGTGACGTTCATCATGATGATGCTGATGCTGATGATTCTGATGATGGTGGTGGTGGTGATGGTGCTGACGATGACGATGGTACTGATGATGCTGATGATGATGATGGCGATGATGATACTGGTGATGGTGATGGTGCTGACGACGTTGACGATGGTGATGCTGACGATGATGATGCTTACGGTGATGATGCTGGTGCTGATGATGATGCTGATGCTGCCGATGATGATGATGATGATGATGATGATGATGATGGTGATGATGATGATGGTGGTGGTGGTGATGATGATGCTGATGCTGCTGATGATAATGATGACGATGGTGATGGTGATGATACTGATGATGCTGATGACGACGGATGATGATGCTGACGATAATGATGATGCTGATGATGTTGATGATGCTGATGATGATGACGATGCTGATACTGATGATGCCGATGCCGATGACGATGATGCCGCTGCTGCTGCTGATGATGATGATGATGATGAGTATGACGATGACGATGATGATGCTGAGGATGACGATGATGATGGTGGTGATGATGATGATGCTGATGCTGCTGATAATGATGATGATACTGTTGCTGCTGTTGATGCTGCTGCTGCTGCTGATTATGATGATGATGCTGATGATGATGATTCTGATGATTATGCTGATGATGCTGAGGATGCTGATGATGATGCTGATGATGATGACGATGCTGATGATGGCGATGATGACGAAGACGATGATGCCGTTGCTGCTGATGATGGTGAGTATGATGATGACGATGATGCTGCTGCTGATGATGATGTTAGTTGCTGCTGCTGGTGCTGATGGAGATGATGATGCTGATGATGATGATTATGCTGATTCTGATGATGATGCTGATGCTGATGCTGATGACGATGCTGATGATGCTGCTGATGACGATGATGATGCTGATTCTGATAACGAACGTGATGATGCTGATGATGATGCTGATGATGATGATAAGACTGATGCTGATGCTGATGATGATGGTGGCGTTGATGGTGCTGCTGATGATGCTAATGATGATGGTGATGATGCTGCTGCTGATGACGACGATGATGATGGTGGTGGTGACTTTGATGATGATGCTGATGATGATGATGCTGATGCTGATGACGAATATGATGGTGATAACGATGATGCTGATGATGCTGCTGATGATGATGCTGATGATGCTGATGATGCTGATGATGATGATTGTGATGGTGATGCTGATGATGATAAGGCTGATGATGCTGATGATGCTCATGATAACGATGATGGTGATGTTGCTGCTGATGATGATGCTGATCACGATGTCGATCACGGTGATGATGCTGATGATGATGATGCTGATGATGATGCTGCTGCTGATGCTGCTGCTGATGATGATGATGCTGCTGCTGATGCTGCTTCTGATGATGATGCTGATGCTGCTGCTGCTGCTGCTGATGCTGCTGCTGTTGCTGCTGCTGCTGCTGATGATGATGATGATGATGATGATGATGATGGTAACGGTGATGCTGATGCTGATGCTGGTGTTGATGATGATGACGGCGGGTGAGGACGGAGAGGAGGAAGAGGAGGAGGAGGAGGAATGGGAGGAGGAGGAGGAGGAGGAGGAGGAGGAGGAGGAGGAGGCGAGGAGGAGGAGGAGGAGGAGGAGGAGGAGGAGGAGGAGGAGGAGGAGGAGGAGGAGGAAGAGGATGAGGAGGAGGAGGAGGAGGAGGAGGAGGAGGAGGAGGAGGAGGAGGAGGAGGGGGAGGGGGAGGGGGAGGAGGAGGATCATGAGGAGGTGGTGGAGGAGGAGGAGGAGGATGAGGAGAGGGAGGGAGGGAGGGATGGAGGGGGGGAGAGATGGCGATGGCGGCGGCGGCGACGACGACGCGCGCCAGGCTGACGGCTGCCCGGAAGTGGAGGGCCTCGGCACCGATGGGGCGCCCGTCAGCTGAGGGTCGGTTGGGGTGCGCCCCTTGTCGATCGAGGGAGGGAGGGAGGGGGGAGGAATCGACGATCGATGGAGGAGGAGGTGGAGGAGGAGGATGAGGATAATTCGATGAGGAAAAGGTGCACGTAACGTTACCCTTGCTTCGTTTTCCCCAATTTGGGTTCCTGGGAGGCCCTCGTCGCCACCGTTGGATTCGCCTCGTAATTTTGGGCAGAACGCACTCCTGGAAAGGTCCAGGAAGTAGCAGTGTCGGTACCTTTCGGTTTCCCTAGATGAGGATGAGAAGGGACACCAGAGTAGGCCAACAATGCAATAGCGATCTTGCAATAGACCCCCCCATCCCATGCCCCCTCCCCATACGCCCCTGCATCCTCTTGACTACCAGACGCGCTCTCAGAAACTAGCATTTTGGTGAAGACCCCGTTTTGACAAGGAACTGTCTTACATCCTTGTATCGCGCAGACGGGCCTGCGCAAACATTACGATCATACAGTTGAACGAGGTGTCCAGCGATATCGTTGTTTCGATGAAGGACCGCCTCCCATCCCTTGTGTTGAATAAGTCTACATATGTTGGTAATGAACTTCGAGGAGGTCTCAACCGAGAGCTTCATTCGCCCATCCTTGTGAATGTTGCAGGCGAAAGAGGGAATGTGCGCTGCACTGATGCGGGAAGCCTATTTTGGAAACCATCTGGTCTCCATCCTTGTTATGGTTGCTAATCATCGAGACTAAGTTGCGTGGCGCTGAGGCGAGAGCCCCACTTTGAATATGAATTGCCTTCCAGCCTTGTAATTGCTGCACCAAGTGAAACCGAATGTGCGGGCGGTAAGGCCGGAGCCTAACTTTGAAATGATCTCCCATCCAAACCATGAAGCTGCTGCAAGCTCTAAAGACCAGTATGCGATCTGCGCTGTGCTACTTCGTGTGCCACATTTTGAAAACGACCCACCGTCCATCCTTCACTGCTGTAAACTGTTAAGACGAATGTGCACGTCGCTAACTCGAAATCTACATTTTGAACATGTGCCGCCCTCCATCCTTGAAGCTGTTGCAAACTTGTACGGCGGATATGCGTGGCGCTTAGGCGAGAGCCACATGCTGAAAACCACCTGCCACATGCTGAAAACCACCTGGTCTCGATCCTTGCAGCAACTGCAGACTTTAAGTGACTTTAAGACGAATGTGCGTGACCACAAAGCGAAAGCCACATCGTGACCCCAGCATCTTTCAAACAGTCGCGAGCTTTTGAGATGAATGTGTGCGGCGCTATGGCGAGAGCCGCGTCTTGAAAACAACCCCCTGGATTCCTAGAGGCTGATGCAAACTGTTCATGAACATATGCGCGGCGCCAAAGCGAGAACCACATTTCGAACACCGCCCCCCTCAATTTTTTAAGCTGTTGCAAATTTCAAGCTTCTGGCGAAACGCCCGGCCCGCTCTACCAACGCCTACAGGGAGAGGTTATTTATGAGGAGAATGATGGAGGAAGAGGTTGAGGAGGCGGATACATTGAAGAATGGAATAATGTAGGAGGATGAGGAGGGTGGAGGGGTAGAAGATGGAAGAGGAGGAACAGGGAGGAAAAGGGAGGAAGAGGAAGAGGAGGCGGAGGAGGAAGAGGCGGGGGAGGAGGAGGAGGAGGAGGAGGAGGAGGAGGAGGAGGAGGAGGAGGGAACGAGGGAGGGAGAAAGAGAGAGAGAGAGGGAGGGAGGATGGAGGAGGGCGGGGGGGAAGTAATTTGGTTGTTTAAGGCTTACGTTGTTTCCCCCCATTTCACCCCACTGGGAGAGAGGCCCCCACATAACCTCAGGCGACATCTGGAGACCTCGTGCTGGTCGTCAAGCTTGTTTTCGTTTGAGGATCTCGTCGAGAGCCCTCTGAGGACCCAAGAGCCGTCCCGAAGGTAAAGTCGAGAGACGAGGCCGCGGCGGCGGCCCGCCATCGGACGATCCCTGGTCAGCGCAGTTGTGGAACATACGTGGTGTCATGCGTGCTGTGCCTGGATATGTAAACTGTCCAAGAGACACGGTGGAGGAGGGAGGGGGATATGGACGTACTCAGCATTTTTCTGGCCTCCTGGGGGACCCTTACCGCCACGGCCACGTCCGCCTGACGCGCTCCGGGCCAGGGCGGGCCATGCCTCGGGGCAAGTCTGGAGGAGGCGAGGAGGAGGAGGAGGGGGAGGAGGCGGGAGTCCCGAAACATTCAAGAGTTGTACAGCCTATGTCGGATCAGTGCATAACAGAAGCCCCGACCCACGACCCCTCCTCCTCCTCCTTCTCCTACGGGGCCGAGGAGAATGACGAGATGAGGACTCGATGCTGCCTGGCCGACCCCGTGCGAAGAGAGGCGCCCCACCCTGGACGCGAGCGCGCACGCTTGGAGTGAGCTTCCTGGCAAGTTTCCTGCGTCCAGGCTTCAGTCGGGCACGTCTCTCTACAGGAGGAGTATTCATGAAACGTTACACGCCAGTCGTTGATAGTAGGTATTTTTGGATTCCCAGATCCCAATCTACTTCAAGCGCCTTCCTACTTCAAGAATCGACATGGTTTTGCTGTGTTTTGTTATCCGTAAGGGCTTCGCCCCATGCCGCCGGCCCCCTGTCTCGGATAATGGGAGATGCAACAGCTAAATCATGAGATTTGGGCGCCGCCGTGAAGCAGTGTCGGGACCTTTTTGTTTTTCGACCCTGACCCTACGGATCTGCGTCACGGGTGCCACCGAGTTTCAGAAATGTAGCAAATCCTTTGTGTTTTTGGACCCTAACCCTACGGATCTGCGTTGGGGGTGCCGCCGAATTTCAGAATGTAGCAAATCCCCTATGTTTTTGGACCCTGACCCTGCGGATCTGCGTGAGGGGTG